AGTTGACGATGTCCAAATGGTGGGGATGGTGAAGGGAAGTTGACGATGTCCAAATGGTGGGGATGGTGAAGGGAAGTTGACGATGTCCAAATGGTGGGGATGGTGAAGGGAAGTTGACGATGTCCAAATGGTGGGGATGGTGAAGGGAAGTTGACGATGTCCAAATGGTGGGGATGGTGAAGGGAAGTTGACGATGTCCAAATGGTGGGGATGGTGAAGGGAAGTTGACGATGTCCAAATGGTGGGGATGGTGAAGGGAAGTTGACGATGTCCAAATGGTGGGGATGGTGAAGGGAAGTTGACGATGTCCAAATGGTGGGGATGGTGAAGGGAAGTTGACGATGTCCAAATGGTGGGGATGGTGAAGGGAAGTTGACGATGTCCAAATGGTGGGGATGGTGAAGGGAAGTTGACGATGTCCAAATGGTGGGGATGGTGAAGGGAAGTTGACGATGTCCAAATGGTGGGGATGGTGAAGGGAAGTTGACGATGTCCAAATGGTGGGGATGGTGAAGGGAAGTTGACGATGTCCAAATGGTGGGGATGGTGAAGGGAAGTTGACGATGTCCAAATGGTGGGGATGGTGAAGGGAAGTTGACGATGTCCAAATGGTGGGGATGGTGAAGGGAAGTTGACGATGTCCAAATGGTGGGGATGGTGAAGGGAAGTTGACGATGTCCAAATGGTGGGGATGGTGAAGGGAAGTTGACGATGTCCAAATGGTGGGGATGGTGAAGGGAAGTTGACGATGTCCAAATGGTGGGGATGGTGAAGGGAAGTTGACGATGTCCAAATGGTGGGGATGGTGAAGGGAAGTTGACTATGTCCAAATGGTGGGGAAGGTGAAGGGAAGTTGGCTTTGTCCAAATGGTGGCGAAGGTGAAGGGAAGGTGGCTTTGTCCAAATGATGGGGATGGTGAAGGGAAGTTGACTATGTCCAAATGGTGGGGATGGTGAAGGGAAGTTGACTATGTCCAAATGGTGGGGATGGTGAAGGGAAGTTGACTATGTCCAAATGGTGGGGATGGTGAAGGGAAGTTGACTATGTCCAAATGGTGGGGATGGTGAAGGGAAGTTGACTATGTCCAAATGGTGGGGATGGTGAAGGGAAGTTGACTATGTCCAAATGGTGGGGATGGTGAAGGGAAGTTGACTATGTCCAAATGGTGGGGATGGTGAAGGGAAGTTGACTATGTCCAAATGGTGGGGATGGTGAAGGGAAGTTGACTATGTCCAAATGGTGGGGATGGTGAAGGGAAGTTGACTATGTCCAAATGGTGGGGATGGTGAAGGGAAGTTGACTATGTCCAAATGGTGGGGATGGTGAAGGGAAGTTGACTATGTCCAAATGGTGGGGATGGTGAAGGGAAGTTGACTATGTCCAAATGGTGGGGATGGTGAAGGGAAGTTGACTATGTCCAAATGGTGGGGATGGTGAAGGGAAGTTGACTATGTCCAAATGGTGGGGATGGTGAAGGGAAGTTGACTATGTCCAAATGGTGGGGATGGTGAAGGGAAGTTGACTATGTCCAAATGGTGGGGATGGTGAAGGGAAGTTGACTATGTCCAAATGGTGGGGATGGTGAAGGGAAGTTGACTATGTCCAAATGGTGGGGATGGTGAAGGGAAGTTGACTATGTCCAAATGGTGGGGATGGTGAAGGGAAGTTGACTATGTCCAAATGGTGGGGATGGTGAAGGGAAGTTGACTATGTCCAAATGGTGGGGATGGTGAAGGGAAGTTGACTATGTCCAAATGGTGGGGATGGTGAAGGGAAGTTGACTATGTCCAAATGGTGGGGATGGTGAAGGGAAGTTGACTATGTCCAAATGGTGGGGATGGTGAAGGGAAGTTGACTATGTCCAAATGGTGGGGATGGTGAAGGGAAGTTGACTATGTCCAAATGGTGGGGATGGTGAAGGGAAGTTGACTATGTCCAAATGGTGGGGATGGTGAAGGGAAGTTGACTATGTCCAAATGGTGGGGATGGTGAAGGGAAGTTGACTATGTCCAAATGGTGGGGATGGTGAAGGGAAGTTGACTATGTCCAAATGGTGGGGATGGTGAAGGGAAGTTGACTATGTCCAAATGGTGGGGATGGTGAAGGGAAGTTGACTATGTCCAAATGGTGGGGATGGTGAAGGGAAGTTGACTATGTCCAAATGGTGGGGATGGTGAAGGGAAGTTGACTATGTCCAAATGGTGGGGATGGTGAAGGGAAGTTGACTATGTCCAAATGGTGGGGATGGTGAAGGGAAGTTGACTATGTCCAAATGGTGGGGATGGTGAAGGGAAGTTGACTATGTCCAAATGGTGGGGATGGTGAAGGGAAGTTGACTATGTCCAAATGGTGGGGATGGTGAAGGGAAGTTGACTATGTCCAAATGGTGGGGATGGTGAAGGGAAGTTGACTATGTCCAAATGGTGGGGATGGTGAAGGGAAGTTGACTATGTCCAAATGGTGGGGATGGTGAAGGGAAGTTGACTATGTCCAAATGGTGGGGATGGTGAAGGGAAGTTGACTATGTCCAAATGGTGGGGATGGTGAAGGGAAGTTGACTATGTCCAAATGGTGGGGATGGTGAAGGGAAGTTGACTATGTCCAAATGGTGGGGATGGTGAAGGGAAGTTGACTATGTCCAAATGGTGGGGATGGTGAAGGGAAGTTGACTATGTCCAAATGGTGGGGATGGTGAAGGGAAGTTGACTATGTCCAAATGGTGGGGATGGTGAAGGGAAGTTGACTATGTCCAAATGGTGGGGATGGTGAAGGGAAGTTGACTATGTCCAAATGGTGGGGATGGTGAAGGGAAGTTGACTATGTCCAAATGGTGGGGATGGTGAAGGGAAGTTGACTATGTCCAAATGGTGGGGATGGTGAAGGGAAGTTGACTATGTCCAAATGGTGGGGATGGTGAAGGGAAGTTGACTATGTCCAAATGGTGGGGATGGTGAAGGGAAGTTGACTATGTCCAAATGGTGGGGATGGTGAAGGGAAGTTGACTATGTCCAAATGGTGGGGATGGTGAAGGGAAGTTGACTATGTCCAAATGGTGGGGATGGTGAAGGGAAGTTGACGATGTCCAAATGGTGGGGATGGTGAAGGGAAGTTGACTATGTCCAAATGGTGGGGATGGTGAAGGGAAGTTGACTATGTCCAAATGGTGGGGATGGTGAAGGGAAGTTGACTATGTCCAAATGGTGGGGATGGTGAAGGGAAGTTGACTATGTCCAAATGATGGGGATGGTGAAGGGAAGTTGACTATGTCCAAATGGTGGGGAAGGTGAAGAGAAGGCAATGACGAGCAGCTGGATTTGGCTCCTCGGGTTTCCATTGGGTCTACTATGGTCTGACCATGTTCCTGTCATATTGACTGTGTCCTTTAGGGAGTGGGATCTCCTCTCTTGTACTTGTAGATTTAAGGACAACCTGCTCAAGGATGTTGTATGTGAGGAGGAAATCGCAGTTACTATTTCTCATTTTCTTGCACACCACTCTGGGGACCCCACTACGCCTCCCCTACGGTCGAAGCCCTTAAGCGTGTACTGGGAAGGATTTTTTTGGAAACATGGGAAAGAGCCTTCGCCCTTGACCCAGCTCTTCCATCATCTCCACGAACTGGAAGCCTTACATAGGTCTGTCACTTCTCCTGCCCACACAATGGAGCTGCTCACTCTTCGTCTCTCTTGGATCACCGTAACCTTATCGCTGGAGATAAAGCCCGCGCCCATCATTATGAATTTGGCAACAGGTGTGGCAGACTACTAGGTAGGAAGCCCCATCCCCGTTCTGCTACCACTTTTGTTGCCAAAGTGAAGGCTCATGGGGGCCAACTACTTCACTCCCCTTCCTCCATTGGAGACTCATTCCATACTTATCTTGTTACTTTATACAATCTCAAAGTTCCTTCTACTACGATGTCCCCTCAGGATTTTAGTGTTAAACTTTGTGACTATATACACGAGATGGCATTACCCACCATTTCTTCGGACGTCAGGGATTTCCTGGACTCCCCTGTTGAAGAGGATGAGGTCCTCCTTGGCCATTTCCTTTCAGGTGGGCAAGGCCCCGATGGCTTCTCTGTCAGGTTTTGTAAACAATATAAAGACCTCCCAGGTCCTTTCTTTACTAAGGCATGTTATTCTGTTTCGGAGTCCTGTCCCTTTTCTCCTCAATCCCTGGAGGCCCACATTACCATTATACCAAAACCCGGCAAAGACCCAACCGACTGTGGCAGTTAATACCCATCCTACCTGACCTACCTGTGATTGGCCACCTATATATTGGAGAAAAGAGACAAGCTGGGGTTGCTGCATGGTCACGGATATGGTAAAAGAGAGCTCTAGCAATAGGACCATAGAGGACATATGCCCCAGTGGGGTCGGGCAGGAAACAACGGCAGGGAGGTTCTTCTGCAGGAGTCACCAAGAGACACAAGAAGCCAGGAAGCGAGCTAACTAATCTAAACGAGACACCAATTATAAATTAAATTGAACTTAAGAACTCTTCAAGATAGTTCTGCCTACATACTCCATGCACACCGTGGCCTGTAAGTGTCCAATCTGTCTTTCCCTTAACTAAAATCCTTCCTGGCATTTGTATCATTCCTTGACTAGATCCTACTAAGCTGGTGTTCACAAACCAGATCTCTTAAAGACCACTCAGACTTCATGCTATGGGTCTCAGATCATGGAACATGTGTTTCAAGGGGGACCTATGGCGGGAAACTATGGAAACAGATAGTTGATTTTATTCCAAACTTATTCACCTTCCCCAATGATGAAGACCCAACGCTGTGCCTGTTGGAGATCTTTAATGAGATACCATCATCTCACCAATCCAAGAGATTCCTTCGACAGATGTTCTAAGAAACGTGAAGTAAAAAGCCACCAACCCCACCACTTTGGACACAGTTACTCAATGCAAACCTATGAAAGCAGAGGTCATCCCATAAGATATGGGGTCAGGTGGCCTTCATCTCCAGATGGAACCACCTCCTCTATATAGACCCACCAGACTCGATGTTCCTCCTGACGTTCTGGTTCATGTTATGGAACCGTATCCTACGCATTGTGTGGATAACTGAATGTGTTGACCTGGTATTAGATCCTACTAAGCTGGTGTCCACAAACCATGGTGGACTCTCACATTCTAAAAGGAAATCATATAGCATGGGACACTGGGGCAAAGATGCTCCCTACCCTGAACCAAGATAGTTGACCGGCGCCTGAAGAAACACACATGAACTCAGTGAGGTCATCTAAAGACAAGGTGACCCAACTCTTCCACCAGATCTCTTGATGACCACTCAGGCTTCACGCTATGGGTATCAGGTCATGGAACACATGTTTCAAGGGGACCTATTGCGTGATACTATGGCCAGGTTTCCTGGAAACAGATTGTCAATTTTATTACAAATTCCTTCACCTTCCCCAATGTTGGAGACCCAACACTGAGCCTGTTGGGGGTCACTAATGAGATACCATCATCCCCCCATGCCAAGAGATTCCTTCGATCTAAGAAATGTGAAGTGAAAGGACTCAGGGTCACAAACCCCATCACTCAGGGCCACCAACCCATTGAGTGAAAGGACTTGGGGCCACCAACACCATCCCTCAGGGCCACCAATCCATTGAGTGAAAGGACTCAGGACCACCAACCCCATCACTCAGGGCCACCAACCTATTGAGTGAAAGGACTCGGGGCCACCAACCCATTGAGTGAAAGGACTCAGGGCCACCAACCCCACCACTTTTGGCGCAGTTACTCAATGCAAACCTATGGAAGCAGAGGTCATCCCATAAGATATGGGGTCAGGTGGCCTTCATCTCCACATGGAACCACCTCCTCTCGATAGACCCACCAGACCCGATGTTCCTCCTGAAGTCCTGGTTCATGTTATGGAACCGTATCCTACGGATGGTGTGGATAACTGAATGTGTTGACCTGGTATTGGAAGAAGCCACATTGTGTTGTTTTTGTTTTTATTTCAGTTCACAAAAACATTTTAGAAACTCTTAAAAAATACAAAACTTTTGGAACCGGTTGTCGGAATGGACAGAATAACGTGAACACGTCTAGAACCGAACAACTCTACAAACAAAACAAAAGCTCGGGCTGCAATATTCACCTCCTCTCAGGGAATGTCCATTACAGACTCATCTGATCTATAGTCCAACACCATTTAACTCAATTCCTGTTGGGCATCATGGCCCCGCCCACTGGTGTGTGTCACCACAACTCCCTGCAGTATATGTACAATGGTGCGTAGAAAGTCACAAATAGGACGTCAGCGGAACTCTCCATCATTGAGGACCCGGAAGTAGATCCTGCGCGTCCTGATTCTGGCCTGAAGGCTTCTGGGAATAGGTATACATGGGGGCCAGGAGGGTGGAAGTGGGCACTGAGTGGGAAACGCCCTGGAAGTCTGTCACTTCTATGACTGGGCGTGAGTTCTCTGGTGTTCTTTTAAGCACTCAGGCAACAGAACAGGGCGCTACTTTGGGTGACTACACCACGCGAGACTCCTCCCGCACGCAGGACATGGATAAGGACGTTCGCCTCCATTAAAAAAAATGTAAAAGTCTATTTCTTTATATGAAACTCTTCCCACACGCAGTACAGAAAAACAACCTCTCACGAGCGCTTCTTGGTGTGGATTTTCCCATGTCGGACCAGACTAAATGGACTTGTGAAACGATTCCCGCACTGTAGACAGGAAAACGGGCGCTCATCCACATGCCTTTGCTCGTGCAGGGCGAGCATATCTTTCCGTGTAAAACACTTTCCGCACTGCTTGCATGCAAAAGGGGTCTCGCCGGTGTGAGCTCTCAGATGCCTCTGCAGATGTTCGTTCTGGCTAAAACATTGACCGCACTGAGGGCACGGAAAGGGCTTCTCACCGGTGTGACTTCTTAGATGTTGCATGAGGGCCGATTTCTCTTTAAAACCTTTCCCGCAATGTGAACATGGATGGGGCCTCTCCTCGCTGTGATGTCTTTGATGTCTGAAAAGGCTCGATTTGTGCGCAAAGCCTTTCCCGCACTTCACACATACAAATGGGCGCTTTCCAGTATGAGTCCTCGAATGCATAGCAAAATAAGATTCCTTTGTAAAGGTTTTACCGCATTCAGGGCATGGAAATACCTTGTTGGTTTTGTGTTTAACACTCTTCCGGTTATCAATGGAAAATTTCTTGGGAACAGCGGGACGCAAAGGTTGGGTGGAGGAGTCAACTCTGGGAGAACATCGGGGTGTGCCTTTATTTTCTGTGTCTGGATATGAAGTACGACGTCTGCTTCTGGTATTCGGAACGTCACGTCCACGGGCTGGGGAGAAAAATTACATTAACAGTAGAAACATGTTCATGGAGATGGACCTTCATATGGTGTCCAGTATCTCCTCCTCATATGTTGGTCACATGACGTTATATTGGGGAACGGAGATGGACCTTCATATGGTGTACAGTTTCTCCTCATTTGTTGGTCACATGACGTTATATTGAGGAATGGAGATGGACCTTCATATGGTGTACAGTATCTCCTCCTCATTTGTTGGTCAAATGACGTTATATTGTGGAATGGAGATGGACCTTCATATGGTGTACAGTATCTCCTCCTCATTTGTTGGTCACATGACCTTATATTGAGGAATGGAGATGGACCTTCATATGGTGTACAGTATCTCCTCCTCATTTGTTGGTCACATGACGTTATATTGGGGAATGGAGATGGACCTTCATATGGTGTACAGTATCTCCTCCTCATTTGTTGGTCACATGACGTTATATTGAGGAATGGAGATGGACCTTCATATGGTGTACAGTATCTCCTCCTCATTTGTTGGTCACATGACGTTATATTGAGGAATGGAGATGGACCTTCATATGGTGTACAGTATCTCCTCCTCATTTGTTGGTCAAATGACGTTATATTGTGGAATGGAGATGGACCTTCATATGGTGTACAGTATCTCCTCCTCATTTGTTGGTCACATGACGTTATATTGAGGAATGGAGATGGACCTTCATATGGTGTACAGTATCTCCTCCTCATTTGTTGGTCACATGACGTTATATTGGGGAATGGAGATGGACCTTCATATGGTGTACAGTGGTTTAGGTACATTGATGATGTTCTTCAGGACATAAATTAGGATTTATCTTCTTCTCATTATTGAACAATGTTCTCTATGTGGAATAAGTAACCATTGTTGGTGGCAGAGTTTACAGAACACTCATCAGAAAATGGAGACGGTTCATCTTCCTCTTATTGTATGTAAAGGAAGATTACTGTTTCAGATTCATCGTTTGATGGCCTACCATTGATTCTTCAGTCTACTCTTATTGGCTGATCTTAAAGGAGAACTATGAGGAGGGGAGGGGGTGATTTTCACTCACCTCATAGTTCTAGACGACCTGTGACAATGAGACTGTCACAGGTCGGCTCAGTAGATCGGGAGGTGAGAGAACACATACTGGCGTTCGCTCACCTCTCGATCCTGTCACTGCTCTCTGCCGTGACAGGGGAGGGGCTGGATTCCCTCCTCCCCGCTCCGATCTGCCAGCGCTGACTGGCGGAACGGACGGGGGAGGGGGCGGGTACAGCTGGCTCTGCTTCTAGATAGCTGTCAGTCACGCAGCTGGGCGGATCCAGACATAATTGTCGGGATCCGCTTTATCTGCGGAGGTCTCAGTATACCGCGAGCAGCAGCTCCCTATATACTGAGCTTAGGGTGACGGGAGGACGCTAGTTTGTGTCCTCCCGTTACCCTAAGGAGAACTATGGGGAAAAGCCCTAACACCATAGTTCTCCTTTAAGGTAACCAGCTCCCCATCACATTCCGTCTACATGGAAGTGTGACCCGTTTGTGTATGTAAATGGTATCACTCACCGGTACTGATAACTAGAGAAGATCTCTTCTTGTAACCCGTCACTTTCATCCCAACCTCCTCCGTGGACCTCCGATCGCCCCTCACACGCGTCTCTTCTTCTTTTTTTTCAGTAAGTCCTTCACCCTAAACTCAGAAATGAGCAGAAAATAAAATGAATGAGGTCACTGAGGTCACATAGAGGTGTCTAATCTCAACTTAAAGTTTCCCCAGACTCCCATCTACCTGATCATGGTGGGGGATGGTGTGATCTTCCTGTGTGGAATCCCGGGGATACAGAGGACCTCCTTCTGCCATAGACTGCTGAGCTCCATTCACAAACATCTCTTCTTCTTCCTGTTTAACCTCAACTTTGACGTCTTTAACTTCTTTACCCTAAACCCCCGAAGATGATAGAACAGATATGTGACCAGGAAGAGATTACATCGGGGAACGTCTCCTCACAGCTTAGAATACATCTTTATATCTACATGCTCAGTCCCACCTACCTGATCATGGTGGGGGATGGTGAGATATTCCTGTGTGGAATCCCAGGAATCCAGAGGACCTCCCTCCTCCATAGACTGCTGATCCCCACTTACCAATGTCTCATCTTCCTCCTTTTTCACCTCAGCTGTGATGTTTTTCAGCTCTTCACCCTACACCCCAAAGATGAGACATTTGTGAAACAGGAAATAGACCACAGGGAAGAATATTAATCTTGAAGATTTATTTTAGGACTACAATACCCGGTTGCACCGACCTGATCATGGTGGGGGACGATGAGATCTTCCTGTGTGGAATCCCGGTAATACAGAGGGCGGGGACATCTCTCTGGTGGCTTCCTCTTACTAGGTGGCTCCATCACATTCTTGTGTTCATCAGAAAGTTCCTCCATCACCCCGTACTTCTCATCCTCCTCTTTATACTCTTCTTTAACATCAATATTATGACCCCCGAGGTCTCCACTCTGAATATACAAAACAATATTTGGAACAAACACGCCTGTGTATAAATCATAACCATCAATACTTGTTAGTCATCTACCTGATCATGGTGGGGGATAGTGAGGTCTTCCTGGGTGGAATCCCGGGAATACAGGGGGCAGGGACATCTCTCTGGTGGGTTTTCGTTACTAGGTGGCTCCATAATGTTCTTGTATTGATCCTTGTGTCCTTCAGACAGCTCCTTCATCACTCCATACTCCTTGTCGTCCATTATGAACTCTTGTTTAACGGCAACGTTACAGTCAGTGAGGTTCACATTCTAAATATGAAATAAAACATTTATCATCAGACATGGAATTGTAGATCAATGATAACTAGCAGAGGTTGTCCATCATCTACCTGATCCTGGTGGGGGATGGTGAGATCTTCTTGGGTGGAATCCCCGGAATACCGAGGACGGGGACATCTCTCTGATGGGTTCCTGTAGCTGGACGACTCTTCCATGTTCTCCTGGTATAGATCTTTGTGTCCTTTTGGACACTCTGACTCCTCCATCACTCCATACTCCTCATCATATTCTTTGCACTCTTCTTTAACGTTTAAATCACTCCAATTTCCACTCTGAATATATAAATGGTAACAATGTAGATAATGTCCAGATCCCAAATAACAACATCAGAGATTGTCCATCATCTACCTGATCATGGTGGGGGAGGGTGAGATCTTCCTGGGTGGGATCCCGGGAATACAGGGGGCGGGGACATCTCTCATGGTGGGGGACGGTGAGATCCTCCTGGGTGGGGTCCCGGGAATACAGAGGACGGGGACATCTCTCTGGTGGGTTCCTCTTACTGGATCCATCTGTAGGAAACACACACACTGACTGAATACATTGTTTCTATGTGTGTATCAGATGATGGGGGATGTAGGCGGAGCCTCCGTACTGCTCTCTCCTCTTACCCGGTGATGTGAGGGGCGGGGCATTCTCCATCACCACGTCCTTGTAGAGATCCCGGTGTCCTTCTAGATACTCCCACTCCTCCATGGAGAGATAGACAGAGACATCCTGACACCTTATAGGAACCTGACACACACAATGATACCGTCACCACCCAGACACGCCCCTTGTCTGTTCCTGGATCATGTCCCAGAATCCCCGGCACCGCTCACCTCTCCCGTCACCACCCAGACACGCCCCTTGTCTGTTCCTGGATCATGTCCCAGAATTCCCGGCACCGCTCACCTCTCCCGTCACCAGCCAGACACGCCCCTTGTCTGTTCCTGGATCATGTCCCAGAATTCCCGGCACCGCTCACCTCTCCCGTCAGCAGCCCCATCATCTTCTTGGTGACTTCTAGAATCTTCTTGTTTTTACTATCAGGTGTCAGGGAGTGAGGTACATGGTCACCAGACATTCCTGAAGGAAACATCTGTATCAAAGAATAAACAATGTTATATCACTCCTAGGCTCTGTCCCACCTCTCTGGTCAGGTAATGTGACCACCCAGAATCCTCCTCACCTCTCCGGTCAGGTCTGTGTTTTATGAATAGAGATCAGAGTGATGTCATGTGACCTCCCAGAATCCTCCTCACCTCTCCGGTCAGCAGGTAGATGATCTCCAGGGTGAGGTTTAGTATCCTCTCAGTCATGAGACTCTGGTCCTCGTCCATCCTCCTGGAGGTGGTCATGTGATCTATCATTCTGAGACTTCAGAAGTCATTAAAAGTTGGATTCTCAGTTAAATTTGGGGAAACCTCATGAAACATTCGATGTGTTGACTTATTTCAATTGCTTTTTTTGTTCATTGCAGAAAGCTGACAGTCTGTAAATTTTGCCAATAAACCTGATTTGTAATGGGGGGGTGGGGGGGGGGGATTCATATTAAAATGCCTCCTCTTGACTTCCCCCCGACTCACCTCTCAACTGGAACTTCCTATATGACATCACTTCCTGTCTGTACCTGGTCGCCCCCTCCAGGAGAGATACAGGAAGTGCAGGGTTCAATCATTGGAATATATTGATCTTGTGTTCTGTTATCACTTTGCACATCCAGGAATTCGAGGAAAAAGCACAAGAGATACAATAGAAGAAACACGAGTGAAGGAAAGGTGACTATGTCCGAATGGTGGGGAAGGTGAAGGGAAGTTGACTATGTCCGAACGGTGGGGAAGGGAAGGTGACTATGTCCATATGGTGGGGAAGGTGAAGGAAAGGTGACTGTGTCCAAATGGTGGGGAAGGTGAAGGAAAGGTGACTGTGTCCAAATGGTGGGGAAGGTGAAGGGAAGGGGACTATGTCCAAAGGTTGGGGAAGGTGAAGGGGACTATGTCCAAAGGTTGGGGCAGGTGAAGGGAAGTTGACTATGTCCAAAGATTGGGGAAGGTGAAGGGAAGGGGACTATGTCCGAATGGTGTGAAAGGTGACTGTCCAAATGATGGGTAAGGTGAAGGGAAGTTGGCCATGTCGGAATGGTGGGGAAGGTGAAGGGATGTTGACTATTTCCAAATGGTGGGGAAGGTGAAGAAAAGGTGACTATGTCCGAACGGTGGGGAAGGGGACTATGTCCAAATGGTGGGGAAGGTGAAGGGAAGTTGACTATGTCTGAACGGTGGGGAAGGGGACTATGTCCATATGGTGGGGAAGGTGAAGGGAAGTTGACTATGTCAAAAAGGTGGGGATTGGAAGGGAAGTTGACTATGTCCAAATGGTGGGGAAGGTGAAGGGAAGTTGGCCATGTCGGAATGGTGTGAAAGGTGACTGTCCAAATGGTGGGGAAGGTGAAGGGAAGTTGGCCATGTCCGAACGGTGGGGAAGGTGAAGGGAAGGGGACTATGTCCAAATGGTGGGGAAGGTGAAGGGAAGTTGACTATGTTCGAATGGTGGGGAAGGTGAAGGGAAGGGGACTATGTCCAAAGGTTGGGGAAGGTGAAGGGAAGTTGACTATGTCCGAACGGTGGGGAAGGTGAAGGGAAGGGGACTATGTCCAAATGGTGGGGAAGGTGAAGGAAAGTTTACTATGTCCAAATGGTGGGGAAGGTGAAGGGAAGTTGGCCATGTCGGAATGGTGGGGAAGGTGAAGGGATGTTGACTATTTCCAAATGGTGGGGAAGGTGATGGAAAGTTTACTATGTCCAAATGGTGGGGAAGGTGAAGGAAAGTTTACTATGTCCAAATGGTGGGGAAGGTGAAGGGAACCTCGAATTCCATTCTTTGTTTTAGACAATTGCACTCCACTACAGGATCTCATTGCCAGTGCACAAGCCCTGATGATGGGGAGGTGGAGCCCCCAAACAGTGTTGACTTTCTAATCAAGCATGATGCTTTATTTTTTACTGGACCCACCTACTCGTTGTGCTGCTCTCATCCTTCGGCTACTTTGCGGACACTTCCAGTTACCACTTGGGGTGCCCACGGCAGCAGAGAACCGCCTCCAAACAGCTGCAAATACAACTATATATTCTCAATCTACAGATGGGGGTTCAGAGCCCCCATGACACCCATCTATCATTGTAGGTCATTGAGAAGATGGTCACCAGGACCAGGAGAAGATATATATTCCCAGTGGGGACCTTGACAGGCAGTCTTGCCTTTAGATGCACTTTAAAGTTGGGCAGGAACAACGGCAGGGAGGTTCTTCTGCAGGGGTCACCAATTATAAATTAAATTGAACTTAAGAACTCTTCACGATAGTTCTACCTACATACTCCATGTTACAAATGCAAAGCTTGGCCTATAAGTCTCAAATCTCTTCCCTACATTGGAGCAGTCTTCACTGACATCCTTCCTCACATCTGTATCACTCCTTCTCTGAGATCCTTCCTCACATCTGTATCACTCCTCTGAGATCTCTCCTCACATCTGTATCACTCCTTCTCTGAGATCCTTCCTCAAACCTCCTCTGAGATCCTTCCTCACATCTGTATCACACCTTCTCCGAGATCCTTCTTCACATCTTCTCTGAGACCCTTCCTCACATCTGTATCACTCCTTCTCTGAGATCCTTCCTCACATCTGTATCACTCCTCCGAGAGCCTTCCTCACATCTGTATCACTCCTTCTCCGAGATCCTTCCTCACATCTGTATCACTCCTTCTCCGAGATCCTTCCTCACATCTGTATCACTCCTTCTCTGAGATCTCTCCTCACATCTGTATCACTCCTTCTCTGAGATCTCTCCTCACATCTGTATCACTCCTTCTCTGAGATCTCTCCTCACATCTGTATCACTCCTTCTCCGAGATCCTTCCTCACATCTGTATCACTCCTTCTCCGAGATCCTTCCTCACATCTGTATCACTCCTCTGAGATCCTTCCTCACATCTGTATCACTCCTTCTCCGAGATCCTTCCTCACATCTGTATCACTCCTTCTCTGAGATCCTTCCTCACATCTGTATCACTCCTCCGAGATCCTTCCTCACACCTTCTCTGAGATCCTTCCTCACATCTGTATCACTCCTTCTCCGAGATCCTTCCTCACACCTTCTCAGAGATCCTTCCTCACATCTGTATCACTCCTTCTCCGACATCCTTCCTCACACCTTCTCCGAGACCCTTCCTCACACCTTCTCCGAGATCCTTCCTCACATCTGTATCACACCTTCTCTGAGATCCTTCCGTATATCTGTATCACTCCTTCTCCGAGATCCTTCCTCACACCTTCTCTGAGATCCTTCCTCACATCTGTATCACACCTTCTCTGAGATCCTTCCGTATATCTGTATCACTCCTTCTCCGAGATCCTTCCTCACACCTTCTCTGAGATCCTTCCTCACATCTGTATCACACCTTCTCTGAGATCCTTCCTCAAAACTGTATCACTCCTCTGGGATCCTTCCTCACACCTTCTCCGAGATCCTTCCTCACACCTGTATCACACCTTCTCCGAGATCCTTCCTCATATCTGTATCACTCCTTCTCCGAGATCCTTCCTCACACCTCTATCACACCTTCTCCGAGATCCTTCCTCATACCTGTATCACTCCTTCTCCGAGATCCTTCCTCACACCTTCTCCGAGATCCTTCCTCGTATCTGTATCACTCCTCTGGGATCCTTCCTCACATCTGTATCACACCTTCTCAGAGATCCTTCCTCACACCTTCTCTGAGATCCTTCCTCACACCTCTATCACACCTTCTCAGAGATCCTTCCTCATACCTGTATCACTCCTTCTCCGAGATCCTTCCTCACACCTTCTCTGAGATCCTTCCTCATATCTGTATCACTCCTCTGGGATCCTTCCTCACATCTGTATCACTCCTCTGAGATCCTTCCTCACATCTGTATCACTCCTCCGAGATCCTTCCTCACACCTTCTCTGAGATCCTTCCTCACATCTGTATCACTCCTTCCTCACACCTTCCGAGATCCTTCCTCACACCTTCTCTGAGATCCTTCCTCACATCTGTATCACTCCTTCGGAGATCCTTCCTCATACCTGTATCACGCCTTCCTCACATCTGTATCACTCCTCCGAGATCTCTCCTCACATCTATCGCTCCTTCCTCACATCTGTATCACTCCTTCTCCGAGATCCTTCCTCACATCTGTATCACTCCTTGACTGAGATCCTTCCTCACATCTATATCACTCCTTGACTGAGATCTCTCCTCACATCTGTATCACTCCTTCACTAGATCCTAGTAAGCTGGTGTCCACAAGCCATCGTGGACTCTCACTTTCTAAAAGGAAACCGTAAAAACACGGGACACTGGGGCTAAGATGCTCCCTACCCTGATACAAGATAGTTGACCGGCGCCTGAAGAAACATACATGAACTCAGTGAGGTCATCTAAAGACAAGGTGACCCAACTCTAACTCTTCCACCAGATCTCTTGATGACCACTCTGGCTTGACGCTATGGGCATCAGGTCATGGAACACATGTTTCAAGGGGACCTATTGCGTGATACTATGGCCAGGATTCCTAGAAACAGATAGTTGACTTTATTACAAACTCCTTCACCTTCCTCAATGTCGAAGACCCAACGCTCCACCTGTTGGAGATCTCTAATGAGATACCATCATCTCACCAATCCATGAGATTCCTTAGCTGTTCTAAGAAATTAATTGAATGGACTCGGGGCCACCAACCCCATCCCTCAGGGCCTCCAACCCATTGAGTGAAAGGACTCGGGGCCACCAACCCCATCACTTTGGGTGCAGTTACTCAATGCAAACCTATGGAAGCAGAGGTCATCCCCTAAGATATGGGGTCAGGTGGCCTTCATCTCCACATGGAACCACCTCCTCTCTGTAGACCCACCAGACTCGATGTTCCTCCTGACGTTCCGGTTCAAGTTATGGAACCGTATCCTACGCATGGTGTGGATAACGGAATGTGTTGACCTGGTATTGTAAGAAGCCACATTGTGTTGTTTTTGTTTTTATTTATGTTCACAAAAACATTTGATAGAATCTTTAAAAAAAAAACAAAAAAAAACTCTTGGAACAGTTTGTCGGAATGGACAGAATAACGTGAACACCCGAGTCTATAACCGAACAACTCTACAAACAAAATAGAAACTTGGGCCGAAATTTTCACCTTCTCTTCTGGGAATGTCCCTTACAGACTCAACTGATCTATAGTCCAACATCATTTAATTCACTTCCTGTGAGGCATCATGGCCCCGCCCACTGGTGTGTGGCACTATATGTACAACGGTGCGGAGAATGTCAAAAGTTTGACGTCAGTGGAACTCTCCATCATTGAGGACCCTGCGTATCATCCTTCTGGCCTGAAGGCTTCTGGGAATAGGTATACATGGGGTCAGGAGGTAGGAATTGGGCGCGAAGTGGGAAACGCCCTGGAAGTCTGTCACTTCTATGACTGGGCATGAGTTCTCTGGTGTTCTTTGAAGCACTCAGAACAGGGCGCAACAGAACAGGGCGCTACTTTGGGTGACTACACCACGTGAGACTCCTCCCGCACGCAGGACATGGATAAGGACGCTCGCCTCTGTGTGAACGTTCATTTAAAAAAAACAAAAAAAGTCTATTTCTGTATATGAAACTTTTCCCACACACTGGACCGAAAAACCTCTCAAGAGCGCTTCTTGGCGTGGAGTTTCTGATGTCGGACCAGACAAAACGGATTGGTGAAACGATTCCCGCACTGTAGACAGGAAAACGGGCGCTCATCCACATGCCTTTGCTCGTGCAGGGCGAGCATATCTTTTCGCGTAAAGCACTTCCCGCACTTCTTGCACGCAAAAGGGGTCTCGCCGGTGTGCGCTCGCAGATGTCTCTGCAGATGTTCGTTCTGGCTAAACCGTTGACCGCACTGAGGGCACGGGAAGGGCTTCTCACCGGTGTGACTTCGTAGATGTTGGATGAGGGCAGATTTCTCTTTAAAACTTTTCCCGCAATGTGAACATGGATGGGGCCTCACTTCCGTGTGATGTCTTTGATGTCTAAGAAGGCACGAATTGTACGTAAAACTTTTCCCGCACTTCACACATACAAATGGGCGCTTTCCAGTATGAGTCCTCGAATGCATAGCAAAATAAGATTCCTTTGTAAAGGTTTTACCGCATTCAGGGCATGGAAATACCTTGTTGGTTTTGTGTTTAACACTCTTCCTGTTATCAACGGAAAGTTTCTTATGAACAGCGGGACGCAAAGGTTGGGTGGAGGAGTCAACTCTGGGAGAACATCGGGGTGTGCCTTTATTTTCTGTGTCTGGATATGAAGTACGACGTCTGCTTCTGGTATTCGGAACGTCATCTCCACGTGCTGCGGAGAAAAATTACATTAACAGTAGAAACATGTTCATGGAGATAGACCTTCATATGGTGTACAGTATCTCCTCCTCATTTGTAGGTCACATGACGTTATATTGAGGAATGGAGATGGACCTTCATATGGTGTACAGTATCTCCTCCTCATTTGTTGGTCACATGACGTTATATTGAGGAATGGAGATGGACCTTCATATGGTGTACAGTATCTCCTCCTCATTTGTTGGTCACATGACGTTATATTGAGGAATGGAGATGTACCTTCATATGGTGTACAGTATCTCCTCCTCATTTGTTGGGGACATGACGTTATATTGGGGAATGGAGATGGACCTTCATATGGTGTACAGTATCTCCTCATTTGTTGGTCACATGACGTTATATTGGGGAATGGAGATGGACCTTCATATGGTGTACAGTATCTCCTTCTCATTTGATGGTCACATGACGTTATATTGAGGAATGGAGATGGACCTTCATATGGTGGACAGTATCTCCTCCTCATTTGTTGGTCACATGACGTTATATTGAGGAATAGAGATGGACCTTCATATGGTGGACAGTATCTCCTTCTCATTTGTTGGTCACATGACGTTATATTGAGGAATAGAGATGGACCTTCATATGGTGGACAGTATCTCCTTCTCATTTGATGGTCACATGAGGGGGGATACAACTGATTACGAGTCCCGTCTCTGCAGTCATTACTCACCTGGAGAGATATTTAAAGAAGTTCTTTTCACTTTCATCGTCGCCATGATTCCAACCTTCTTCATAGACTGCTGGCCACCCCTCATAGGGCTCATTTGTTCCTTCTTGACCTCCGTATCTTTTCCACACTTAAGCAACACAAATTATTACATTAGAACATAGAATACTAATACACTAGAACCTCATATAATGATACAAAGTCCGAACTGGACAATCTGTGGAGATCTAGAACCTCATCTACCTGGTCATAGTGGGGGATGGTGTGATCCTCCAGAAATTGGCGCCGTACGGTATGCATCCTCTTATGTATGGCAAAATATAATTTCTTCGTAAAGGATTTACCACATTCAGAACATGAAAAGATCATCTTGTTTAGGTTCAGGAACTGTTGGGGAGCAGCGGGGTGCAAAGGTTGGGTGGAGGAGCCACCTCCGGGAGAAAGCTGGGCAGTGCCATTGTTTTGTGTGTTAGGGCCTGGATATGAATTACGAAGTCTCCTTCTTGTGATCGGAACGTCGTGTCCATGTTCTGGAAAGAAAAATCAAACAATGGAAACATTGTTCATTCTTCAAGTTCTGGAGTCATAAGTAATTCTAAGAAAAGTTATAGAACACCAACACAAGAGATTAGATATATATGGTCCCATCTCCACCTCAACATTTGAGGAATGGAGATGGACCTTCATATGGTGTACAGTATCTCCTCCTCATTTGTTGGTCACATGACGTTATATTGAGGAATGGAGATGGACCTTCATATGGTGTACAGTATCTCCTCCTCATTTGTTGGTCACATGACGTTATATTGGGGAATGGAGATGGACCTTCATATGGTGTACAGTATCTCCTCCTCATTTGTTGGTCACATGACGTTATATTGGGGAATGGAGATGGACCTTCATATGGTGTACAGCATCTCCTCCTCATTTGTTGGTCACATGACGTTATATTGAGGAATGGAGATGGACCTTCATATGGTGTACAGCATCTCCTCCTCATTTGTTGGTCACATGACGTTATATTGAGGAATGGAGATGGACCTTCATATGGTGTACAGTATCTCCTCCTCATTTGTTGGTCACATGACGTTATATTGAGAAATGGAGATGGACCTTCATATGGTGTACAGTATCTCCTCCTCGTGTTGGTCACATGACGTTATATTGAGGGGATACAACTGATTACAAGTCCCGTCTCTGCAGTCATTACTCACCTGGAGTGATATTTTTTTTCACTTTCATTGTCGCCATCATTCTAACTTCCCTCACAGACTGCTGACCGCCCCTCGTAGGAGTCACTTCTTCCTTGTTTTCAGGAGCAGTAGGAGGCAAAGTTTGGGTAGAGGAGTCAACTTTAGGAGGATGTTGGCTTGTGCCACTTCCTTTTCTGTTATGGTCTGGATATGAAGTACGAAGTCTACTTCTTGTGTTCGGAATGTCATGTCCATGTTCTGGAAAGAAAAATCCAACCAAAGGTAGAAACATGGTCATTCTAAATGTTCTGCAGTCAGAAGTCATGTGACATGAGACATAATACAATCATAACGCCAACACAAGAGATTAGAGAACGTGTACAATATAAATAAATATGGCGCCCTTGGTCATGCCTTATGTACACTGATAAACATCACACATGGTCCCATCTCCAACCTCAACATTTGGAAACCGGACGTTATATTGGGAAATGGAGATGGACCTTCATATGGTGTACAGTATTTCCTCCTCATTTGTTGGTCACATGACATTATATTGAGGAATGGAGATGGACCTTCATATGGTGTACAGTATCTCCTCCTCATTTGTTGGTCACATGAAGTTATATTGAGGAATGGAGATGGACCTTCATATGGTGTACAGTATCTCCTCCTCATTTGTTGGTCACATGACGTTATATTGGGGAATGGAGATGGACCTTCATATGGTGTCCAGTATCTCCTCCTCATTTGTTGGTCACATGACGTTATATTGGGGAATGGAGATGGACCTTCATATGGTGTCCAGTATCTCCTCCTCATTTGTTGGTCACATGACGTTATATTGGGGAATGGAGATGGACCTTCATATGGAGTACAGTATCTCCTCCTCATTTGTTGGGGACATGACGGAGGAGGAGATACAACTGATTACGAGACTCGTCTCTGCATTACTCACCTGGAGTGATATCTAAAGAAGTTTTCTTCTCTTTCATTCTCGTCATCATTCGAACGTTCTTCATAGACTGCTGACCGCCCCTCATAGGGGTCACCTCTTCCTTGGTGACCTCAGTTTGTACATCTGTATCATTTTCACACTGAAACACAAAATTATGACATTAATATAGAGAGTTCTAATAAACTAGAACCTCATATAATGATACAAAGTCAGAACTGGACAATCTCTGGGGTCACAGTGAGTAAAATTAAGTATTTGATCCCCTACCAACCAACAATTATTCTGGCTCCTCCCACAGACTGGTCATGTGGTACACAGATGAGTCCTGTCACTTTAAGAAGGGGCTCCTAACGACAACACAATCTGTATATAAAAAAAGACAGCTGTCCACAGAATCTCTTCCTTCCATTCATACCTCACCACCATGGGCAAGACCAAAGAGCTGTCAGAGGACGTCAAGGACCGTAGACCTGCACGAGGCTGGAAGGGGCTACAAGACTCTCAGCAAGAAGCTCGGTGAGAAGGAATACAAAATAACCATCGATGGCCCTCGGTCTGGAGCTCCATGCAAGATTTTGCCTCATGGGGTGAGGATGATCATAAGAAAAGTGAGGGATCAGCCCAGAACTGCACAGGGGGAGGAGCTTGTGAATGATCTCAAGGCAGTTGGGACCACAGTCACCAAACCATTGGTAACACAATACACCGCCATGGATTGAGATCCTGCAGCGCCCGCAAGGTCCCCATTCTCAGGAAGGCCCATGTACAGGCCCGTCCCCCTCCTCAGGAAGGCCCATGTACAGGCCCGTCTGAAGTTTGCCAATGAACATCTAAATGATTCGGAGGATTGGGAGGAAGTGCTGCGGTCACATGACACCAAAATTCAGCTCTTTGGCATGAACTCGATACGCCGTGTTTGGAGGAAAAAGAATGGTGACCTATGACCCCAAGAACACAGTCCCTACAGTCCAGCTCGGAGGGGGAAACATTATGCTTTGGGGCTGTTTCTCTGCTAAAGGTAAAGGCCCGACTTTGCCACATTGAGGGGCCAATGGACGGGGCCACGTATTGTACAATCTTGGAGGAGAGCCTCCTTCCCTCAGCCAGAACACTGAAGATGGGACGTGGACGGGTCCTTTCAGCATGACAATGACCCAAAACATATCGCCAAGGCAACAGAGCCTGGGTTGAAGAAGCACATGAATGTCATAGAAAGGCCTAGCAGGTCTCCACACCTCCATCCTATAGAACATTTATGGGAGGAGCCGAAACTTCGAGTTGCCAAGCGACAGCCAAGAAACCTGAAGAATCCCTCCTGAGATGTGCGCAAACCTGGCGACCAACCCCAAGAAACGTCTCACTTCTGTGCTCCCCAACAAGGGTTCCCCCAGGAAACGTCTCCCCTCTGTGCTCCCCAACAAGGGTTCCCCCAGGAAACGGCTCCCCTCTGTGCTCCCCAACAAGGGTTCCCCCAGGAAACGGCTCCCCTCTGTGCTCCCCAACAAGGGTTCCCCCAGGAAACGGCACCCCTCTGTGCTCCCCAACAAGGGTTACCCCAAGAAACATCTCACCTCTGTGCTCCCCAAAAAGGGTTCCCCCAGGAAGCGTCTCACCTCTGTGCTCCCCAACAAGGGTTCCCCCAGGAAACGTCTCACCTCTGTGTTCTCCAACAAGGGTTCCCCCAGGAAACGCGTTACCTCTGTGCTCCCCAAAAAGGGTTCCCCAAGGAAACGTCTCACCTCTGTACTCCCCACAAAGGGTTCCCCCAGGAAACGTCTCACCTCTGTGCTCCCCAACAAGGGTTCCCCCAGGAAACATCTCACCTCTGTGCTCCCAACAAGGGTTCCCCCAGCAAACGTCTCACCTCTGTGCTCCCCAACAAGGTTTCCCCCAGGAAACGCGTTACCTCTGTGCTCCCCAAGGAAACGTCTCACCCCTGTACTCCCCAAAAAGGGTTCCCCCAGGAAACGTCTCACCTCTGTGCTCCCCAAAAAGGGTTCCCCCAGGAAACGTCTCACCTCTGTGCTCCCCAAAAAGGGTTCCCCCAGGAAACGTCTCACCTCTGTGCTCCCCAACAAGGGTTCCCCCAGCAAACGTCTGAACTCTGTGCTCCCCCAGGAAACATCTCACCTCTGTGCTCCCCAACAAGGGTTCTACCAGGAAAAGTCTCAGGTCTGTGCTCCCCAACAAGGGTTCCCCCAGGAAACGTCTCCCCTCTGTGCTCCCCGACAAGGGTTCCCCCAAGAAACTTCTCAGGTCTGTGCTCCCCGACAAGGGTTCTCCCAGGAAACGTTTCAGGTCTGTGCCCCCCAACAAGGGTTCTCCCAGGAAACGTCTCACCTCTGTGCTCCCCAACAAGGGTTCCACCAAGAAACGTCTCAGGTCTGTGCTCCCCGACAAGGGTTCCCCCAGGAAACGTCTCACCTCTGTGCTCCCCAACAAGGGTTCCCCCAAGAAACGTCTCACCTCTGTGCTCTCCAACAAGGGTTCCCCCAAGAAACGTCTCACCTCTGTGCTCCCCAACAAGGGTTCCCCCAAGAAACGTCTCACCTCTGTGCTCCCCAACAAGGGTTCCCCCAAGAAACATCTCAGGTCTGTGCTCCCCAACAAGGGTTCTCCCAGGAAAAGTCTCACCTCTGTGCTCCCCAACAAGGGTTCCCCCAGGAAACGTCTCACCTCTGTGCTCCCCAACAAGGGTTCCCCCAAGAAACATCTCACCTCTGTGCTCTCCAACAAGGGATCCCCCAAGAAACATCTCAGGTCTGTGCTCCCCAACAAGGGTTCCCCACCAACTACTAACTCATGTTCTGCTTGGGGAGCAAATACTTATTTTACTCCCTGAACTGCAACTCCATTTATAACATTTGTGTCATGTGACTTCTCTGGATGTTTGGTGCCTATTCTGTCTCCGATGATACAAATTATATCTACAGGGGAGCCAATCATTATTTGCCACACTGTATAGAACCTCTTGTACCTCATCTATTGGGCGCTGTCCGGTGTGCGTCTTCGTATGTTCAGCATAACATGATTGGCTTGTGAAGGATTTCGCACATTCAGAACATGGAAAGATCTTCTTTTTGTGTTTATCGCTCTTCTGGTTATCAATGGAAGGTTTTCCAGGAACAGCAGGATGCAACGGTTGGGTAGAGGTGTCGACTCTGGGAGAGCGACGGGTAGTGCCGTTATCTTTTGGGTTATTGTCTTGACATGAAGTACGACGTCGGCTTCTCGTATTCGGAACATCGAGTCCAAGTTCTGGAAAGAAAAATCCAACAATAGGAAATGTTCATTCTTCATGTTCTGCAGTCAGAGGTCATTCTAATATAAGTCTTGTAGCATGACACATGGAGGATACTGGATACTGTACACCATATGAAGGTCCATCTCCATTCCTCAATATAACGTCATGTGACCAACAAATGAGGAGGAGATACTGTACACCATATGAAGGTCCATCTCCATTCCTCAATATAACGTCATGTGACCAACAAATGAGGAGGAGATACTGTACACCATATGAAGGTCCATCTCCATTCCTCAATATAACGTCATGTGACCAACAAATGAGGAGGAGATACTGTACACCATATGAAGGTCCATCTCCATTCCTCAATATAACGTCATGTGACCAACAAATGAGGAGGAGATACTGTACACCATATGAAGGTCCATCTCCATTCCCCAATATAACGTCAAGTGACCAACAAATGAGGAGGAGATACTGCACACCATATAAAGGTCCATCTCCATTCCTCAATATAACGTTATGTGACCAACAAATGAGGAGACACTGTACACCATATGAAGGTCCATCTCCATTCCTCAATATAACGTCATGTGACCAACAAATGAGGAGATACTGGACACCATATGAAGGTCCATCTCCTTTCCCCAATATTATTAGATTATTACTCACCTGGAGTGATATTTAAAGAAGCTTTTTTCTCTTTCATAGTCTCCATCATTCCAACCTTCTTCATAGACTGCTGACCGCCCCTCATAGGGGTGACTTCCTCCTTGGTGACCTCAGGTTGTACCTCCGTATCTTTTTCACACTTAAGGAACACAAATTATGACATTAGAACAGAGAATACTAATAAACTAGAACCTCATATAATGATACAAAGTCATAAGTGGACAATCTGAGGACTTGTAGAACCTCTTGTACCTCATCTATTGGGCGCTGTCCGGTGTGCGTCTTCGTATGTTCAGCATAACATGATTGGCTTGTGAAGGATTTCTCACATTCGGAACATGGAAAGATCTTCTTTTTGTGTTTATCGCTCTTCGGATTATCAACGGAACGTTTTCCAGGAACAGCGGGATGCAACGGTTGGGTAGAGGTGTTGACTCTGGGAGAGCGACGGGTTGTGCCGTTATCTTTTGTGTTATTCTCTTGACTCGAAGTACGACGTTGGCTTCTCGTATTCGGAACGTCGTGTCCATGTTCTGGAAAGAAAATCAAACTAAAAGTAAAACGAGGACGGACTGAGCGTTCAGTCTTTTTGGCGCTGGCCCAAGGGCCTGCAGGAGGCTAGTGTCATGGGACGCCGATAGGGGAGTACAGGCAATCCTCCTGTACAGGGCTGGGCTCCATCAAGTTAGTAGGATGGGGGGGCCGAAGCCAGCACAGGCTCCCTGAAGTGGAGAATGGTCCTGCCCACTTGCCATGGTAACCAGTTGATTGGCAGGCTCCTCCTCTTCTTCCCAACAGGGATCGGGCTCTTCTACATAAAAGGAGAGGAGCCGGTCAATCAGCTTGTTACCATGGCAAGTATTTCCATTGCACCTATCAGGGTCCCGTCTGCTCACCTGGGCTATGCTGATCAGTTGCAGGAAGGACCAGTGGCTTTCAGCTCCGCCCATTGCACCGCCCACAGCCCACGGTATCAGGAGTGGGAGTCCTACCATAAGGTAAGAAGCTTAACAGAAAGTAGAGATGGGGGTCAGCAGTGGAATATTGGTGAATGGTGATGGACCTTCATATGGTGTCCAGTATCTCCTCCTCATTGGTTGGTCACATGACGTTATATTGGGGAATGGAGATGGACCTTCATATGGTGTAC